AGTGGCCCCGTCCCCTCATTGTAGGGTCCTGGATGGGGCCGTGGTCCCCGGAGGCTGACGCAGATGCAGCCGGGATGTCCCTCTCCCAGGAGCAGAGGTGGTGCGAGGTCAAATCCCACTGGAGCTGGCTCTGTGCTGCTGTGGACCATAGCACTCTATCTGTTGGGAGCCTGAGATGTCCGGTTGTCTGTCCGGCACCCATCTGTCTGTCACACCAGTCTCATGCTGTCTCCTTTCTTCATACAGACACTACAGCTTGAGGGTGAATCAAGGGCTAGCTGAAATTCAGTCCGTTCCGAGCAGGGTGCTGAGCTGACTCGCTGCAGGGTCTGCGCTGGGCTGCTGGAGCCAAACACATCCCCAGTGCCAGCGCCTCGGGGGGGACACACCGCTTGCGTGCAGCGGCCTCCTGCTGCTGCCAGCAATTTTTAGGCTTATCCTGAATTCCGTAAAGCTTGGTTTTCCTACTTGATTGCATTTCCTACTTGATTGTAGACTTGCCAGGTTTTGCTCCTTCCTCCAGGCCGTGAATAAAGAACTTCCACCCTGAGCCATGACACTTCTCGTCTCTTTGCCTGTGCAGGGGGTTGATCCTGCAGCCTCCGAGTGCTGGAAGCTCGGGAAGGTTTGCTTGTGCTCCTTGTCCTCTTGTGAGCCGGCAGTGGTGGGAGCTTTAGGAGGCTGATGCATGTCTTTGGTCAGAGCATCGCTGCAGCTGCGCGAGCAAAGTCAGCACCTGTGCCCGGCCGTGCTGACTGATCCTGGTGGTCTGGATTGGGCCCTGAGGGAGGGTGGAAAACCGCTGTTCCCACTAGCCGAGCCTCGTGCGGCCCCGTCCTTGGCGGCTGTTGTGTCCCAGCACTCCAGGTCAGCGGTGCTGGGGGACCTGCCACCTCCTCGCCCCCGGCTGGCTCTGGGGAGATGGGTCCAGCAGCAGAGGTGACGGGGAGGTGCTGAGGGACGTGGTGAGAGACACGGCGACCCCCTCAGAGGGGAGGGGGGTGTGGTGCTTGGCCTGGGGTCTGGGCATCATCCTTTGCCGGGGTCTCTCCTGGGATTTACCTCCAGCCACAATATCCCTCTTCCCAGATAACAGGACAAGTATTTTCTGCTGGAGAAGGTCCTTGGGTGATGTTTGTTGGTGCTAGCTGCCCGGCTGCAGTCTTCTGCTCTCTGACCTGAATCCCTCGTTCTGGGAGGGTCCATGTATTT